AGAGCGTCGACTTCAAATACAGCCTTCTTGAACCGAAATAACGCATGCAGATGGTGTAGCATGCTTACTGAATACAGCATAGTGCTTAACAAAGACATTGATTGTGCATTTCTATACTGTAGCATGTGTAACACACCCAATAAGTTGAATTGGATTTGGATTGGTAACTATATGGGATATTATTGAATTAAAAATTGATACTTCCAAGGACTAAATAAAAAGAAGGTTTTTTAACTGATTCGAGGTTAGTCCGGGTTCTCAAGAATTTGAAGGAAACTGCAAAACTTCTAATAAGATGAAATCCTACTAATTACATTGCATTTTTAAATAGATCTATCAATTATTTGAATTTAAACTTAGTTGGGTTGATTCTTGTTTATCCTCGTGAAACTGGAAATTTATGGTGTTGAGAAGCAATTAGTGTTATTTTATTAGTTATTCACTAGGGTTCATTTTAAGGAAAGACAAATACGAATAAAGAGATCCCCATAAAAATAATAAGGTTATCTCTATTTTAAATTTTTTTTTACTCGTATTTATTTTATCTTTTTCAAAGAAGACTTCAGGAAGTAATTAAGTACTAAGAAACAACCATTCTGACCATATTTCTTCCCTTCATTGTGTTACGAGTTTCAAAAGCAAAACAACGAGAAGAACAATCGCAACAGTTAAGCTGCTACAGTAGAGGAAGAAGTGTAGTAGCTGGAGCTTGTTGGGAAAATTCTTACACGGCAAGTTGTCAGCTCAAAATCTAACACCGTGCATGTATTCTCTCTCTTTTTTCCTTACAATTGAATCGACTTCTCATCTGAATTTGCAGAGTAACGCGGGCACCTGCTCTAACAAATTAAGAAATCTCGAGCTTATTTACAATTCAAGCAACAAAACAATCAGAAAATCATCATTGGATCCATTTCTGTTACAATGTAAATCATTGTAGTTAAGGAGACGAACTTTCAGTTCTGGAAAGGGGTCATAAAACTGAAATCTATTGGACAAGATTAAAATAGTGGGGGTAAATTAAATTTCATTAGAAACCATTGCATCTATTCCAGTCTGTTAACTGTATTATTTGAAAGTTGTTTGGTATTGATGGCAAATCACTCAAGCAGCCAACAAACTTCTTCGAACCAAAATCACTTGATGCCAATGTAGGAGTCCTGATGCAGCTTGTGATCTCCAAATATTGCATCAGCTTGTTTAGCTCGAACTCTCGGTTTCTCTTCCTCCTTCGACACCAAGGCCTGTCTTGGTCTGTCCCCGCTAAATGATCCATCCAGGCCCTTCTCTACCAAAGCCGTTGCATTCAAAGGCTGATCAATGATGAAAGGTAAGAAAATGAGAATACGTCCGAATTGCTAGGTTTCAATCACAGAAGCCCATGCAGAGTGAAACAATGGCCCTCCAGTGGATGAATGCAGGGGCGGAACTGCGTGTATTTGGGGTGCATGACGCCCCCAACGTTTCGCGAACTTTACATTTCATTCCTAAAATATTTATAGTTTTTAATTACACCCTTTAATTTTACATGTTCGGCACCCCAAAAATCAAGTATATTCTTTTTCACCCCACCAATCTTAAATTTCTAGATCCGCTCCTGGATGAATGTGATAAAATTTCAAACTGAGGCACCCATCCCTTCTCAACCAAATACCTTGCATTCAAAGGTTGGTCGATGATGAATGGTAAGAAAATAAGGGCATGACCAAACTGCAGACTTTCAATAATAGAACCCAACCCAGAGTGAAATAATGATCCCCCAAAATTAGTTTTGGTACCTAACATCTATGTGTTGTAATTTTTTTTTTATCGTAATTAAATAATCAACACAAGTAATTACACAAGAAAAACTCTCAATTTTTATTAATCTTTAAACAAAGAATGTGCTGCCTACTGCTCCCCTCCCTGTATTTCTGCCTCCAGTATGGCAGAAAGGATCAAAAATAGCCGATACCTTCCCCCTCTTTTTTTCTCCTCATCCTCTTTCAGGTTTCACAGCGCCCCTCGTCATCTCTCCCAGCTCTTCTCTCTTTCTCTCTCTATTTTTTCATATGAAAGACAAAAAGAAGAAGAAGAAGAAGAAATGCGGATTCGAAAAGAACAGAGATAAGTTAGATTGGCCATGGGTTCTTCCGTGAAAAACTAAAAGTGTTTTTTATTTAAAAATATATTAAAATAATATTTTTTATTTTTTATCCTGAGATAAGTTTTCAGTAAAAAAAAACAAAAGAGCGGCGGGGATCTTTATTATGCATGAATATTGCATTTTGTCGATGCATGAAATCCAGTACAGATGTATGTGGCAGAGCTTTTGTGGCCTTGGACTCTTGAGCCACGAAAATTGAAAGGCAAAAGGGACGGGAGACTTGAGAATTGATTGCTCCAAATCCCTTCGCAATTGTGCGTGCAGCCGGCGAAAATCATTTAAAATGACGGTGTAAACGTTCGCCTCACAAATATAACCTTTTAGCATTTTTTTATTTAAGAAAACTCTTTTTTCTTCCCAAAATTTGATGTCTGCTATTTTATCTCTGTGAGAGGTGTGACCCTTGAAAACAAGATTGTCAATTCTATCTTGTTTTATTTGAAATAGTAGAAATATTTCATGTTAATTTAAAAAATAAAATAACATAAAATAATTTTTATTTTATTTTAAATTTTGATTTATTTTGATTTTTTTGGATAAATTTTAAATAAAATATTCTAGTTTTATTTTACATGATTCGCTCCGGGCTTAAAAAATTATTAAATTAAATTGAACTTATCCAGATATAAAAAAATCTTTTTTATTATTATTTTCATTAATAATGATATTAATTTTTTAAAATTAGATTTGTCATTGATATATATGATTTATATTCATGTTGTTTTTTTTATGTCTATACTTTATAGAAATTTGAGCAAAACAAATAATGTTTTAAATCTTATTAGTCTGGATAACATTGACATATTAAATGAATGAATTTATAAAAAATATATCCTTCTTATTGGAGAGGATATAAGCTGGGAGACTATTAAAATATTTTTATCTATTTTGATTTTAGAGGATAAAGAAATATATTTTGATGACAAGAATGAGCTTGATGTAAATAATTAACTATTGAAGTGTTTAGTTGATGACTTTTTCTATATACCACCACAAGATCAAGATTTTTATTTCTATATTAATAATGAAGATGGTATTTGATTTATGTTTTTTTTGTGTTAAAATATTTTATTTTCATAATATTTTTTATTTTGTTTAAGTTAAAATTCTATTTAATCTTAACTATTTAAAAATATTTAAAATTTTAAAATTATATTTGTTGAATTATATATATATAAACAGTATAATTCTGAAATAACACGTCCCAATACTCTGAAATCAAAATATTTCATTCTAATTGAAAAACTAAAATACTTAACAAAATAAAATTAATAATTTTACTTAAAATAAAATCCTAAAATAGCACGTCACCGTACTCTAAAACTAAAACATCTTATTCCAATAAAAAAAAATATAAAACTATCAAAATAAAATTGACTATTTTTCTTGAAAATGAAATGAGCTTGTACCACAAATTCCTCGTGGATAAATTTCACAACGCAAACAATGTTTTCTCTATCCCTTATAATTTCTTCTTAACTTAATAATAATCTTAAAATCTTGATTAATTAACTAATAAACACAAGAAAATCAATGATGGGAGAGAAAGGGAACGGCATTAGGGACGACAATAATACAATGTTGTGACTACAAAATCCCCATTTTAATAGATTTTTCCAGACAAGTCCCAAAAGAACAGACAGATGGAGGAGGGAGGAGTGCGATTAAAACAAGAAACTGAATCTAGTAGTTATCAATAAATATAAGGGAAAATCATCCCTAGCAATTAAGTCAAAATTGCAAGTTAAGTTTTGAAAACTTATATAAAAAATTTAAAATTTAATAAAATAAACAAATTACTCTCTTGTATATTAAATCAATCAAACAACATGTATTGACTTTTCTTTCTCTCCTTGGAAACGCAAGTTATGAATCCAAAAACCTAATTTTCTTAATTTGTTCATGTCAAATCCATTAGATTACTCATTAATTATGGAGATCTAGTAATAAACACTATATATATTAATTCCTAGACTAAATGAGAGATATTATTTTTTTAAATCTCATTTAATCTTGACTTTTTTCTATAATTATTATTTTTTTATTTTATCTAGTTATTTTATTGTGTTTATTTTTATTGTCATATAATTAAATAAAAAATATTTTTTTAAATAAATTTATGTTTTGACTTTGATAAATTAACATAAATTAATCTAATATATTATATTTATATTTTAATATTTTTAATAATACGTTGTTAATGATTAGAAGTGATGGAACACTGAAATACCAAGAAGATATATTACTACGAATATTGGAATCGCATTTTTCGTTGAGGGCTACAACCCCATTCCAGGCTGAACCG